TTTTTACAAAGGTGCGTTTGAACTAAGAATCTGATGTTTCCCTTAGGTGTAGATCTGCTGAATATGCAAATGGTTCCATAACTTCATATTCTTTTTTCTCTTCTCTTTACTGCGTTAAGCTTTTAACCCTTTCCTATACCAACTGTATGCATGTGTGTGTGTGTGTGCGTGTGTATGTGTATATAAGACTAGTTTAAGTGTTTATGTAGTATGTTGGACTAGTTTAAGTGTTTATGTAGTTAATAAAGTCATTTATTTGTATCACACTTGACGTTGTTCATTGTTTACTCATAACTGGCGTCCCTAATCATGCAGATTTATGCTGCAGGCTCTGTGTAGAGTTGTACAGTAAGAAAGTAATTTCCCTTAACCAGGAAATTAACGTTCTTAGAATTGACAGACAGTTGACCCTGAGAGGTCAAGTAAATATCTACAGCGGATCTAAATATTTATAATTAATTATAACTAGTTATGATTAATTATTCATATTTCCCCATGAGCTGATTCGCTACATTACTAATTCAGTTTTACATTTATTTCTTATTTATTTTATGTTCATTTAAAACAGCATTGTATTTTAATTTTTTTAATGTATTTATTTATTTATTTTTCTCAATAAGAACTGGGAAGTGTTGATATAGACTATTTGTTTATGAAAAAGAATTACATATACAGAAGGGGCATTACTGTATGAAACTGACCATTACATTACAGCAGAGTGTGTCGTCTGCTGCGGGAGCCGGGAGGACAGTGAACCGTGCGCTGAGTGAGGAGAGTCTGTTGTCCACCACAGGTTCCCCGTGTCTTCTGTGTTGTTAGGTGAGCCGGTAGCTTTCACAGTCTTCTGCCGTGCCGTTGCTTTCCCAAAGCCGGCTTTCCTACCAAAATGGCAAACTAGGGGCCACTGCTGTGACGTCATCACACAAAGAAACTAGGGGTGCTCCGATCAGGATTTTTGAGGCAGATCACCGATCGCCGATGCTTCATTGTCACTGAAAATGCTTTTTCAGCATTGAAATTCTTCTTTTTACACAGTACAGTAATACAATCTTTCACAGACATGTTTAAACACAAAGACCGCAACCGTGTGCAGTATGCACGCTTTAGTCCGTTAACATGAGCGCGGAAAAAATACGCACCACGTATGCACTGCAAACAGAGTAATGTGAACCTAGCATTATGTGTGTGCGCTGTGAGTGTGCATGAGCGCACGGAAACCATCCAAATTTACTGGTCAGGCTTTGAACAATAAAAGGGCTTCATTCTCACCCCAACCCCGCCCCCAGTTCTGCTCTCACGCATCTGCATTTAAGTCAAGTCAAGTCAACTTTATTTGTATAGCACTTTATACAATACTGTTTGTGTCAAAGCAGCTTTTCAGTGTCAAACAGGAAAATAGTTTGTCAATAATACAAGAAGACAATAATGCAAGAAGAATTTACATGCGCACAAGTGTGCTTTGCAACAGGAATATCGCAAAAGGAGTAGGAAAATCAAAATGCTAAGATTTGAAGCTTTTCACATCAGAACTGTGAGTGTAAATTTCAGCTTACAAATACGAATATTAATATGACAAGTTCTCAAATTCAAATCAGCTAGCTGTCGAGTTATGCTACACTTTTACCTTCATATAAACTGATCTGATTTGATCCAAGAGAGTGAAGAGTGTGTCATTGTTCTCTACAGGTTGAGTGATTGTGACGTCACAGATGAAGGTTGTGCTGCTCTGGCTTCAGCTCTGAGATCAAACCCCTCACACATGAGAGAACTGAATCTGACTGGGAATAAACTAGGAAATTCAGTGAATCTGCTCTCTGATGTACTACAAAATCCTCACTGTAAACTGGAGATACTGTGGTAAGATTATATATGACACACAGTAAAGTATTTGTGAAGTGAAAAACAAATCACCCAAAGAAAGAAATTAGGTATTGTTTGTGAATGGAATACTTACTACTGATTGGATGAGACAACTGTCAATCAAGATACAGAAAGTAAAACACTGTGTGACTTTGTTTCTTGTACATGTGTGGACTTCTGTGTTCATGTTAAACCTGTCTTTGCATTAGCAAAACCTTTAAATGGATTGTCTGTTTACACTAAGTGATAATAGCCCATCTTGTAAGCAAAGACTTGACTGTTAGCAGACAAAATTACTAAAGAAACCAGTCAGATAAGTGGGAGAGTAAGGACAGCGGGCTTCTGAGGTGACCAACCCGAGTACAAATCTGCATTTCTTCTAGGTTTTTTTCCCATTGCATATTAGCTCAGAGAGGTGTTTATATTAAAGAAAAATTAAGAAAATATTCAAAACATGGAAATAAAGTGTTCAATAGGCATTTAACATGCCTATAACTGAAATTGTATGCGGTGTCCTCACGTTGATCAGATGGGCTGGTGAATCAACCACATGCAGCTCATATTGTTCCCAAACTCGAAACTGTGACTCTCTTCCTGCACCTTCAAGAACACCTTCACTGATCAGCAGCTTCAGTGTGATTAGGAGCAGGTGTAGGAGTGGCTTTAGGAATAGACACAAGTAAGGACACTATAAGGCAGCATCTGTTTATAATGAATAGAATCATGTACAAAGAATATGTTATTACGTACTTACACTATTTACACTAAGTATAAATAATATCTCACAGTGTGATCTCAGGTTTTGCTATCCTTGGGTGATGGAGGAGAAACACACACACACACATGTCTGGTTTGCTATCCTTGTGGGGACTCTCCATAGGCGTAATGGTTTTTCTACTGTACAGACCGTATTTTCTATTGCCCTACACCAACCCTACCCCTAAACCTACCCCTCAAAGGAAACTTTCTGCATTTTTAGATTTTCCAAACACTTCATTCTGTGTGATTTATTAGCTTGTTTACCCGTGCGGACCTCAATTTAGGTCCCCACCATGACATGAGTCCCCATGAGTCTGTGTGTATTCAGGTTTAAGTCCCCACCAGAATAGAAAAACAGGTACACACACACACACACACACACCACTACTCCATACAGAGCAAAATAACAGTATAAAACTCAGCTGTGTAATGAATAGTGTGATTAAACAGATTTGTATGAATGTCTTCATAAGACAGACAATTTGTTTAAAAGTACTGACAGCGCAATAAATAAATATTATTTATCTTTCTCGAATGAGACTTTAGATGATTTATGATCATGGTGTTTTTTTTTGCTCTTTGACATTTTAAATCTCAGTCCAATGATCCATCAAACATTGATTTGTACTTTCTCTTTACTAATGGATTCACTGCTAAACTAATCTGATCTGAGAGAGTGAAGAGTGTGTCATTGTTCTCTACAGGTTGAATTATTGTGGCGTCACAGATGAAAGTTGTGCTGCTCTGGCTTCAGCTCTGAGATCAAACTCCTCACACCTGAGAGAACTGGATCTGATTGGGAATAAAATAGGAGATTTGGGAGTGAATCGTCTCTGTGCTGTACTGAAGGATCCTCACTGTAAACTGGAGAAACTGCGGTTAGATCATCTCTCTGATAGTCTCATGTCTTTGTCCTTTAATGTAAATTCTAAGACTAAAGCTTGTAAAATAAATGTTCAGTAAACACACTAAATCTCAGCACAACTGACTCTGATGACTGAATATGAAGTTAATTTCATTAATCTTCATCACATCACATGAGCTGCTGCTCCTGTTTTTGACCCAACAAACATTTACTGGAGCTTCAGTTGGTTCTGCTAGTTTGATTAATACTCCTTCACCTGCTCATCTCTGTGTAAGAGTTTATTTTCCTCTTATTTTCCACTTTTTCTGAAATCCCATGAGCTCATTGTGTTCGCACAGATGTCATAAATATTTAACCTGAATGTTCAAATACTAATCTGTGATTTAAAGATTTCTGTTCAGTTTATAAGCTGCCAAACATGACACAATGATATGTTTGATTGCAAGAGTTAATAAATGAGATGTAATGGGGAACACGCGGCTCCTGTGAAGCAAATGTCCTCCTGTAGGTGTTTATTAGAGGAGCAAGTGACTGTTTCTCCAGACAGATATGTCCTTATATCACTATGAAAAAATATTTCACATTCAGTTCTGTGTGTCTGTTCAATTCTGAAGCACGTGACAGTTTCAAACAGCACCACTGAGCAACAACATGCATAAATCTCATTCTGTCCGCAGCAGTTTGTGGCAATGCTTGTCATTATATCTCCTCTCCTGCTCTGAGACCAGAGTCAATAACAAACTACAGACACTTGAACTACAATTCACATTGTATCATTGTTCTCTACAGGTTGAGGGATTGTGGCGTCACAGATGAAGGTTGTGCTGCTCTGGCTTCAGCTCTGAGATCAAACCCCTCACACCTGAGAGAACTGGATCTGACTGGGAATAAACTAGGAAAATCAGGAGTGACGTTACTCTCTGATTTGAAAGATGATCCACATTATAAACTGGAGACATTAGACTGTTGTGAGTATATTATTATTTAAATATTTTAAAATGGCCAAAGTTTAGTAACAGGTCTCATATGTGTGTAATTGGAGAATATAAGATAATAATTCAGCTCCACTTTAGTCTCTGTACTTTAAACTGTTTAATTATGTGATGATCTATAAGTATATAAATATTTTTCATCTCTGTATGCAAGTGATAAAGAGAGAGTTGTTGATCATTTAGTGTTATTAATCTATGATCAGTTGTTCATTCATATCTCTGGCTGTAATATAAATATACTGTGTTTTTTTCTGAAATGGATCTGCTGATGTGATGTGACGGCAGTAATGTCTCATACTCATATGTGACTGTCTGTGTGTTTTATTGTAGGACTCTCAGTATTTAGACATCAATCCAGTTTCCTCAGGATCAGCTGCTGGTGAATAAGGAGCTGCTACAGAGACGTCACAGTCACACAATCACCAGAGACTGAAGACACAGAGACACACAGCATCACACTGTCATGTGTGTCATCTTTCACTGTCTTGTTTTATCGGTAATGGCCCATGAAACTGAGTGCACAATAGTTTTGAATTCACTAGATATTGTCTACAATGTACATCAGATGTCCAATCTGGCCGCTGGGATGATTTGATCAATAATGTAAAATAATAAATAACACATTATTTTGAAAATTAAATAAAATGTATTTGTGTTACGAACTGCTCCAAGACTTGGGTTGAAGATCCAAACGCAGCTTTAATAAGGGTAATCCACAATCATAATCCAAATACCAGGCAAAGGGTCAAACAATCCACACAACAGAGTCCAAAACTCAAGCAAACAGGGAAATCGAGGAAACCAGGCACAAGATCAAAACCATAACGGATTACACGGGTAATCAGAGAGAGCGCTCAGAAATGCAGCGTAACACAAACAAGACTTCACATTGAGAGAGTGAAAACACAGGGCTTATATAGACAGAGTTAGCGAGGGAAATGGCAGGTGTGAAATTTTTCTACAATGTTTTATTTTTAATGCAAATTATTTTTTCTCATTTGCATTGATGTTACGCCTTGAGACACAAACACAGGCGTGTAATGGATCAAGCAGTGCCAGAATCTCCAGCAGGACCTAATTGATGATCGCTGCATTGTAACTGATGCTTGTGTGTCAAGTTGTAGTTTTAAACATATTAAAAAGAAGAAAATTGACCTGGAAGGGTGGATATTTAAGGAGAAATGGAAAGAAAGGTATTTGTTCTCTGAGGGCAACTCAGACCGGTATGTTTAATCTCAACCCGTGTTTGTGGTAAAAGAAACATGATTTCCAAACTCGTTCAAAGGAATCAAAAACACAACAAAACACAATGAAACGACAACATTTCTCTGATATTTCCAAATCATCCTCACGTTGATTGGTTTCTACTGCGACGAGGATGAGCCCCTATTTGTTACACCCCGTGCCTCAAAAAGGACGTAACAAAAACAGGGACACACGAGAAAGCCAGAAGTAGAATACAAAATTTATGAACAAAATCAAACTATAAAAAAAATAGAACAATGAAGAATGTAACAGTCAGGAATCAGTGATGTAAAGTTAAAGGAATGCATGGAAGTGTGAAATGAAGTGTAGCAGTGTTGGATGTACAAAAGACACAAGCTTTAAAGGAGACATATTATGCCCCTTTTTACAATACGTAATATAAGTCTCTGGTGTCCCCAGAATGTGTCTGTGAAGTTTCAGCTCAAAATACTCTACAGATCATTTATTATATAATTTTGAAAATGCCTATTTTGAGTGGAAGCAGAAACACGTTGTTTTTCGGGCCTGTCTCTTTAAATGCAAATGAGCTGCTGCTCCCCGCCCCCTTTTCCAGAATAGAGCTGTGCCATTACAACTCGGACCTGCTAAAAAACATCTGTTTTGGTTCTGATTATCATGTTTATCTCGCTGAAATCATGCGTTTTAAACCATATTAGTTTAAACTGCTGATATATGGTTTTTTGAGAGTACACATCCGAAGCACACGGACAGAAAGCAACCACCAGACAGCATGCGAGTACTAAACTAAGTTCTCATTCACACACAAGTTTACGTTAAAAAACACACGAGTTACAAAAACAGTTCAGTTATGTCTGTGAAACAGTAAATAAATCAATACATCCACTGCTCTCTTGTCTCCTCTGTGCTTAAATTATAGCACTTAAAACCTGGAAGAGTCAGATTTTCATGATATGTTACCTTTAAGGAAACCAAACAAAACCAGCTCTTTTGTGGCCATTAATCTTGATTCTTTTAAAAGGCCCAAAAAGAAGTCAAAAACAGGCGTCTTCAGTGGAACTACGAGAGAAAAATCACTTGGAGGAAAACCCCACATAAGAGAGGTCGTCACACATTTACAAAACAACGTATAGTAATGGAGTGTCAAGGTTTTTTATCCAAAGGACATTAAGAAAATAGATATGTTTATACACCACAGAAAACCAAAGAAAATCAATGTAAGATTTTCAGTGATGGGCTTACATCCTGAGCTGTCCAGCTTCTCAGGCATAGATTTAATATAGATCATCATAACTGTGTATTTTGAAATTCAGAAATAGACAACTTATTGCGTGTACATTTCTTTATTGTACTTATTTCTAGTCTAACATTTGAGTGTGTAGCTTGTGTATGTGTGTTTATTTTTATTAAATATGTGTCATCTCAAGAAGAGGGGCTTCCACTTGATAATGTCTAGAGAAATGTCTGCCCTGCCATACCTTGATTTAAATACATTTCAAAACTCTTATTTTGAAATGAACTTAAGCGATATTGAGCGTCAGACAGAAATACAATATATTTTTTAATTATTATTTTTTTTTATTTTCATTTTTTTATTTGCCAAGGTGTCAAAACATATAAATACATGGCAAGTGTAAAAGTACCTATTTAAATAAAATGCTAATGAAAGCAAAATATCAATTATAAATAAAATACAGAATATATACTAGAAATTTTATCAAAATAAATGAAAATGGTGGCACAGGTTTATCATCATTGGATTTGGATTTCTGTTTCAAAAGCAATGAATAATAGAGGTCGACTGATTGATCGGTTTTGCCGATTAATCGGCACAGATAGTCGATTGCTGGAACTATCGGCTATAAAATCCTTGCCGATAGTTTTTCCGGTTTGCGTCCATTGCTGGAGCGGCTGAGAGGGTCTGGTGTATTTTTACGGTGCGAGAGCGACCTCTAGAGGCGAATCACTGACACCACATGCTGTTTGTTTTGACACGTGACACTGAGCGCTGCACAGGGCGGGAGACTTAAGAAGCGGATTTAAAACAGACAATGAAACCTGTGTACAAAGTATACTGTAGTGCATGTTTTCATATCATAATGAATTTGTTGAATAGATGCTGCATTAGTGGAGAAAGAAATGCGGTAGGCTATGGTTGCTGTCAAGGCTGAGAGGTTGCGAACAACGCCTCAAGCTGTTAAAACAATGTGACCAAAACCAGGGATGGGCAGTATTTCTGATAAATGTATTTAAAATACATATTTGAAATACAAAATACTTTTTTGTATTTTGTATTTTAAAGCTTTTAAAAAATAAATCTACTGTAATTTGCATTACATTTTTCCACACAGTATTTTGTATTTGTATTTTAAATACATTTTCATGTACTCATGCCCATCTCTGCCCAAAACACTGAACTGTATCATGCATCGCTGTTTGATAATAAAAACCGACCATTTTGTTTGCGAAATTTCGCTAACGTGACCGCACCTCATACTTGCCGCGTCGCAAGTTTTTAGTGCTTTATTTTCATCCGGTTACATGTGAAGTATCACCACTGCAGGATGTTTTACAGTAGGCTACAATAGCATATATGTTATCAGTCATAATAATAAATCAAATATGCCTCGTCCGCGAGTTCGCTTGGTTGTCATTTCGGCGTTTTTACACTGTAAAGAATTGTAATTAATAAGTTTCTAGACATGTTTTTCCACTTTAACTCATCAAATTAATTTAACAAATTTCAACTTCATTTTTAAGTTAGCCTATACAAGATTCAATTTGATTTTTAAAGTCAATTTAATATAGGTAATTTAAGTTGAAATTACATGAAATGACCTCGAATAATGTGATACTTATAAATTTAAGGCAGCACCTGAACTTAAGTTTTGAAGTTGAAGTCAGTGGATTTTTTTTTTTACAGACTCGTCAAGATCTGTCTTATTCTATTAATAAAAGTTAGATGTTTAATATATGCGAATTTGCCATAGTTCTATTTTATGGCTGATGTGTTTTAATTAATAGGCTAATAATGAACCACAAACTACAATCGTTTTTAAGTAAGGGGAAATCCAAAAATCAATTATTTATTTGTGTTACAACGCGGGTTAAACATATTATATCCTTATTTATGTTGTTAATAAAAGTTAAAAGTTTAATATAAGCAAATTTGTCATTGTACTATTTTATTGTATAGACCAATTTCAGTGTTTGCAAACAGTGATGACATTTTTGTGGGCGGAGCCGATCTGGTGGCAGAAAATGCCAGTTTTAATTTAGCAGTCTATAGCCATGGATTAAAAGAATTAAAAAAAGGTCATTTTGAGTTTATATTTCAAAATTCTGATTTTTTTTTCTTGCAATTCTGACATTATATCTCTTTATATCTTTTTCCTCGCAACTCGCAATTGTTGAGTTAGGGTTAGTGTTAAATTATAAAGTCCGAACTAGGAGATATAAACTTGCAAATAGGTAAATGTTATGTAAAATGTTATAAGTTGAAATAGTATTCCATGCTTTAACTATACGGCTAATACAATATGTCCCCTATGTGAATATTATATAGACCTATTGTTTAAATCAAATTTATGCTTTAAAGGGTAATCAGGTTTCATCCATTGTTTGTCCGTTTAACGTCTGCGTTTAGCTTCAAATGGCGTCTTTGACGACAGTCTTATATAAAAATGATTTGCATTCCGATTCTGACATCCAAAGGCACAACAATAAATGTTTTCTCTTATTCCATCGATTTTACCTGTTTCCCTCTACTAGTTCCTAGTGTTTTTCTGCCACCACAATGCGCTAGTGATGTCCGGTTCGCGAACGAATCGTTTGATTTAACCGGTTCTTCTTAGTGAACCGGTTGAACCAGTTCACCATATTCCACTTCAGGGCATACGGTTTCCTCGTAGAGGGAGCTCTGGATTGGAGAATGGTCTCAACAACCTCGGTTGAGAGACAAGAAGCTGCGAGTTGTGCCCCCCCCCCCAGGGGCCACACCCATGCTTCCACAGCTCCGGGCGGGGGTGAAGATAGTACCCTCCGCCTGTCAGAGAAGATGCCTCCTGATGGAAATCTCCCATGGAGAGCCGTCGAGAAGAGAAATCAGGTCCGAGAACCATACTCGGACCGGCCAGAATGGGGCTACCAACAGTAGACGGACCCCATCCTGGCACACTCTCTCCAGAACTCCCGGGAGCAGAGAGATCGGGGAAAAAGGCGTACAGACAAAGCCTCGGCCACGTCTGTACCATAGTGTCCAGCCCGAGAGGAGCTGGATGAGTCAGAGAGAACCAGAGGGGACAGTGCAATGTCTCTCGAGTCGCAAACAGGTCCACCTTAGCCTGGCCAAAAACTCTCTATATCTGCTTCAACACCTCAGGGTGAAGTCTCCATTCCCCGGGCCTCGGCCCCTGCCTCGACAGGATGTCTGCTCCCATATTGAGATGCCCAGGAATGTGAACTACTCTCAGCGAGAGGAGTTTGCCCTGGGACCACACAAGGATCTG